AACATTTTGTTTCCAAACTCATGTTTTTATGGGAACCACCAAATAGCTCATCTCTCTCTCTCTCTCTCTATATATATATATTTATATGATTTAGAAGCTGCCGAACTCCAAATGACAGCTTATACTTTATAAGCAAGAAACAATAAAATAAACAGATTGTGTGTGTCCAGAAGAAGAACCACACAAACCTCTGCTGAAAAAGAACACCTGTATACACTATTTTCTCATCCAACCTGATTGAAACTTAGGATATTAAAATGTATGACCTTGACAATATCTCAAACTGGCACTAATGCTCAAATGTGCTCTTCACCCAACATACCAAAACATTCAGTTATTCTTAGCAATAAGCTTATTGTCAGCCATGTGCAGAGGAACAGAACATTAATGGTGTGGTGTGCAATCCAGGCGTTGCCAGATGAAAAGTACATTTGCTTTCCTGAAAGGAGTCGACAGGCTGTGGTTGGGGTACGATTCCTGTGCTAGGAACTCTGGTAATACAACCTGTAGGAGTAGCCTGCACCAATGAGAAGGCATCACAAGGCTTTATTAGGGATCTTATATATTCATATCTGTGGTTCAAGCACTCTCTAGAGATCTCTGAGTACAGCTTGCTTAGTACATTAACCAATAAAGTTATGCTTGGTTACTTTCACTGAATATGCTCATTTACTGAATGGCTAGAAGCTGCAGGTGATTTGAAAAGGAATGCTAATGTGCCAGAGCGAAGGACTGAAATTTGCACATGTGGCTGCTTTTCTTTTTCAACCATCTGGAATGCTTCCAGGGAGACTCCACTTAGAACCAGAAAATCAATGTGCTTAAAAATCCACTTCAGCTTTGCCTGTTCTGATATTGGTTCCTTGTGAGATGTGAGGGTTCAGCTTGAAATAGATTTGGTACTGAATGTTCAACCTAGGTTTCAGGCTGAAGCAAGGCCCGGAAAGCTTGTTGGATCATCTTTGGAATCCATGTTTCTTCTGCGCATAGCAACAGATGAAATTATTTCTGTTGGGTTCTATTGTTTGTTAGCAGTCACAGTGAATGTATGTTTCCTATCAACTCATTGTCCCCCATTCCTAGGAGAAAATAGCCAAATTTAGAATTAGGAGCCCAGAGGACCCACAAGTACTAGTCATAGATTTGTTGTAGTCTATAATTTGTACTCAAATTCCACTTGAGATAAAACTTGGTAATTTTAGGATATTTCTGTATCCCATGCAACTAGCTAGTCCGATCCATTTTCTTTCACCTGATATGACAATGGCCCTTTTTAAACCATTGTCATTTTATTAATGTGAAAAAACTGCATTCACCAAATGATCTCAGTCTGGGGATAATTTAATGTAACCGGAAAGAAACTTACACTCTTGATTTTAAGGAATGGAGGAGAAGATGCAATATGTTGATATATGGTCTAGGTTTAATGATAAGCTTAAGAATTGAATTCATTTTATATTATTATTTATAGTAATTATATGGATTTTCTGTTAGTTTTTTCTTTTTTCACATTTACTTTATTTTAATCATTATACCTAGTTTTTTCCCCCCTCTGTATAAAACTAAGTCTGAGAATAATGAGTACAGGATAAGTTGTATTTATTAATGGGATGAAATCCCTGCCATTTATTTATTTAAAGATGGATATTTATTTCCATGAATAATAACTGTTATGTAGTTGCACTGCATTTGTTTGTTGTCGACTTTATGACCTCAACCTCTTGGAGGTGCCTAATTCACCCCTGTTTATTTTTCAGATTTGGGGAGAAAGATTATAGTGGTACTTGATACAGTCTCTGCAGCTGTATTATTCCATGCACTGATTTCTGTATTGTGCTTGCAACTTAATCCCCTGTATGTTTACCTGAAAGTAAGTCCTAAGAGTACAGTGGGGAAGGTAGGTACGTGGGAAGGGAGGAAGGGAGGAAGGGAGGAAGGGAGGAAGGAAGGAATCAATCAATCCAGGGGTATAGACCTGTAGTAATCAAGTAAACAATTTATTCTAATAGTCACCAAATGCAAAAACTCTACAAATCGTGGGGAGCACCATGCACATCCAAATCTTCAGACAAAGCTACGGTGAGTGCATATGCAAGAAGCAGACCTAAGCAAGTTGTTTACAGATAAATGTAGGAGAGGATAAGCCCTAATATTAAACATCTATATTAGGAAAAGAGAAGGCATGAATAAGAGCAGAATGAGAGGACTTGCCTAGGGGTATTAAGCAAACCAGTCCCGGACATGAGCATGGCACTAATTGGCTGAATTCCAGTCCTCTAAAGAAAATGCACGCTGTGCCCCCCGTAACCCATATTCCACAGGGAGTGAATCTTTTTAATCATCACAGGACGTTTTAGCTATGTAAGAAGCCCTGCAGTGGCTGAGCAATGCATGAACAGCGGCCACGGTTTCTCTCTCTCTCTCTCCCCCTCTGCCTCTGTTGCTAAACACGCTTCCTTCTGTCTTGCTCTCTCTCCTGCAGAGTCTAACAGAGCAGCCAGCTCTATGGGATAGAGATTACCAGTGACATCCCGTCAAAGACGTGGTCCATCAGCTTTATAAAAACAAGACAGCTTTCAGGAAAAAGTCCAGTTCTCTCATTTAGAGGAGAAGGAGAGGGAGGTTTTTCCTCTAAAAGAGTTACTTTGAACAAGAGCACTTACCTTGGGCTCACCACGAGATTCTGCAGAGTGGAAAAAGAGTGGAAATAGAAGAACAAAGAGCTTGGTCTGACATTGCAATGAAACAGTAACCCCTGGTAAGTGGCTTTCTTTTTATTCATTTTCCAGCAAGGGGTGAGAGGGGGGATGCTTTTTTTATTTAGTGGAAAGCTTAAAAGTGTTGTTGGGAGGGAAGAGCTCAGTTCATAACATGCAGCTGAATATGCTGATTCTGCCATCAGCTATAAAACCTTCTTCTGCTTCTGCTAATTTCTGGCAGGGTATAGTATTTTTTTTTTAAGAGAGGTGTTGAAGAGGTGAGGGAAGTATGAAGCTTCCTGTGCCATACATAGACTTGTTTCTTTTGTTGCACTGGCACCTCTGATCAAATAGGCTTTGCAGGTTTGGGAAACACTACACTGATCTGCAGAACTTATGAATGGAGACAACAGAGGAGTAAGCGTTCAGGTCGTGGGCATCGATGCATCTCACCATCTTCGTTCATCTGAAAAGATTGTCACTAGCTTCCCGTGCTGGCAGACTGTAGACTGCACGTGCTACAAGCAATCCTGCTAGGAATGTCAACATGTTTGCATGGTGAGGCTGAAGCAGGGAGCTAAGGGAAGAGAAAAGTGTAGGACTGGTCAATATTCCTGGTTTATTTCTTTCTCTGGACTTTACCCCAGGAGAAAAACCTTGGAGAATTCTCCTCTCCATCTCCTTTACTTTACTGGGAAACTGTCGGTTTCTTCTATCCGTTGCTCTCCCTTTGGTACTCTGTTCACAAACACTGAATTTACAGAACCAAGTTTTGTGTAGCTTGCTTTCTTGTATATTTTGACATGCTCTTTTGCCCATTTGCTTCTGGGTCTAGCCTGCAGTCTGCAGCCTCAGAATAAACTCTGTTCTTGAGTATTGAGCAGCCTCTGACAGTTTTGAGAATAGGCTTCTCCATCTATAATGGAATCCCACTATCTTATAGTTAGATGGATCAGATGTGGTGTGACTTGGTGAAGATACAGCAGCAGATCCAACACTTCTAGTGCTTCCTGAACTCCATTTCTTTCCCTTCCTCCTTCATTAGCTTATTGCTTCTCTTGTGCTCTGCAGGCAGAGCTCTTGGGTTATCCCTAGAAAAAAAAAAGAATTCATGCCCCAGCTTGATGATTTGAATGACTGGATAAAAAACTCAAACTCATACAGGAAAATCAGTTTAGGTGTGAATTTCAAAAGAGGACTCCCTGCAATTAATTCCTACAGCTTGGCTGGATATCTTTGCGTTCATCAGTGGAAATGCCCTTTCTCCTACATCCCCCTCACCCCAATTTGGGAATTAAAATAAATGCCTCCAGCATGTTTTGGCTAAACTCCTCAAAGCTAGCTGTATCTTTAGGCAGCATGAGACAGCTACCACTGGTGGCAGATGCAGGAGGGCACGGTGGCATTATTCTTTCTCTCAATTATTCTTTCTTTTTTGTGGGGGGAGATGAAATTGTATACACCGCCCCTCAGTAACTTGTAGTTTGTAGTTTCTACTGTAGTTTGTTTCTCTTTGTGAAAGGGGCTGGAGAACCTTGTTACCTTTTGTTTTAAGTAGGAGAATCACCTTGGGCTAGTCCTATTAGTCCTGAATCTTTTTTGTCCCCTCCACATGTGGCCTTTGTGCTGCTCCTGGATTGGCTCTGGGCCAACATGATCACAGTCCATCATCCTCACTGGGTAGCAGAGCCCATGATTTTTCAGCTCAGTGGCTGCCCAAGAGCATTGCAAAAGCATTTCTGTAGTGCAAGGTATGAGTTGGACACAGACAATCTCTCACTCCTGGGAAGAACAATCACTTTGCCCTACCTCCTTAGCTCTCCTTCCAGGAGTTGAGATGCCATATTGTTCCATGGACTTCTTAACTGTCTTTTAAAAGCAAGTGCAGGGTCTCTTTGCATCCCCCCTCACAGTGACTGGAGATTTTTCTTTTAATAATAATTGCAAAATCAGATGGAGATGAAACTAGGAGAAGGCTTTGTCTACCAGTTTTTGGGTTCCCTATTGGTCAGCTGGAGGAAAAGTCGGTTGGCAATTCCTAATGTGGCAAGAATAGAGATGGTGAGGACACCTACAGGCTAGTGTGAATTGATCTATGAGAGTTTGGGGGATGAAAATGGTGGCTATGTGGAAATGCCTTTAGTGGGGGCTAATGGTGCTGTTGCACAAGTTGTGTGTTGTCATGCTCCTGTATGCATTTTTATTTCCTTAATTGTAAGCACCTGAGGGCTTCATCCAGGTCAAGAGTATTACACATTTCAATAACCTCATCCTCCCTGCAAGGGCACAGAGTTAAAAAACACCCAAACCCACCTTCCGTTACAGTGAACCTCTGTGCTTCCCATCATGTAACCTGAAGCAGGATGTTATGCAATATCATTATCAGTGAGTGAATCCCGTTGAGTGGGATTGATCTTCTGACAGAGAGATCCAGGTTAGTTTGGTTCAATACGCATCTATAATGAGTAGACTGGAAGGCTTCACCTTGTGTTGCTAGCTTTTGGCCCATATGTCTGAAGTTTTTTTTGTCTTTCCTATTAATCACAAGACCCTTGGCTTGGCTAGAAAGTGTGCTTGGTTAGAAGGATTGGCCTGAAAATTTATTCTTGGGCACAGAAGCATGTTTCCTTAATTTCTAGTTTTGTGCATCCCCTTACTTTGTCAGAAAGCCTCCCACATGTTAGTTAGCAGCTGTCTTTGTTCATGTCGTGGATCAGATGGAGATTGATATAGCAGAACAGCAAGGACTTTTAAAAGCAGGATGCTAAGGATGTGGGATAAAGCACTTCTCTTTCTTTTTGTCATACTAAATGTAAAAATGGTTTTCGGCGCAATCCTTGACAACACAACGCTGTTAGGAGTATCGTGATTGCCCTCTTCTGGCAGCATTTTGTAATCCCTGCTACTTTCCCTTGAGTGAGTTCCATGTTCAAACAGGGCTTGCCCCTTTCCTCTCCTGGGCATAGAGATTCACTCTTGAGCCAAAAAGTGACAATTGCGCTGGGAGAAGCTGCCAGGCAGTGATCAGCAACAGCTTAACATTCCTGCACTGAGGGATTTAGCACAAAAGTCAATAGGAGAGGCAAACTCAAAATGAGCTTTCAGAGTTGTGCAAGTTTTATACAATTGCCATTTCCCAATGTCTTATTACCTGAACTCTGCTTCTCATTCTGATTTCACTATTACTTTGATCTGCTGTTTGGACAAGCAGGGATTGTTCACCTAGTTCCTAATTCTTGCAGGTCCTGCGAGGTTTCAGGCATCCTTGAAGGCTCTATTCTACAATTAATTGCCTGAGATCATCTGGGGCAATGCACTTAACTGGCATCTCTTACCCTGACCTAAACCTTTTGCAGATACAGATGTTTTAGTAAGTTTCCAAGCTGGCTTAGAAACACCATGAAATGGGACAAAAAGAGCAGCTCATATTAAGTATGGAGCATTCTTACACAGGTAGTCCTTGTTTAGCAACTGCCTCATTTAGTGACTGTTTGCAGTTACGATGGTAATAAAAAAGTAACTTTGCAACCAGTCCTCGCACTTATGACCTTCACAGATCTGTAAAGCAAAGGAAAGCTGAAAGAAGACTGTAAGCACAGTTGTGGGTTCACTTAGCAACCACTTTGCTTAACGACCAACTTGCCAGTCCTAATTGTGGTTGCTAAATGAGGATTACTTGTAGTGAAATTCTAAGGAGGTTGACAAGCAAATACGTCTCTCTGAGTTCATCTGGACGTATTCCCTAATACATGTTCACATTTATAGGAAATCTTAATCAAAGAATGTAAGCATAAATTAGCAGTGCAATATTATGGTGCAGCCCTATGCATGTCTACTCAGATGAAAACCCCTTAACATTCAGTTAGCCTTTGTTTTATTTTGTTTTGTTTTGATAAGGTGGCAGTCTTGCAGGTGTTACTGTAAGAGCATCTGCTCCATCTTGTCATATGGACAGAAAGTAACTCCAGGAATAGAGATATTTAATTTTTTTTCTTGCTTCAATCTACCCTTTTAATCATTGGCTTACTTCAGTTCCTGCCAGACATTTGCCAATACTATGGGTTATTTTACAGGATCCAGGATCTAGAGTAATTATTCTTCTCTCAGGTTTTAAAAAATCAACTACTTCCTTTTGTTTAAAAAACAACAACACACCATTCCCTACATCTTTGTAAAGCTTGCAGGTTTGTTGTTGAAGCAGAGTGGAAGATAGAGTATCCATAATACTATTTTGAGGCTGGAGTAAAATAAATGGAAGTTGAATAAAAGGTGCAGTAGAGGTTGCAGAAGGATTTTAATTTTTTTTTAATTTTTATGTCTTCGGGTCAGTATTGATTCCTGGTGACAGCCTGGACTAGTCCCTGCAGTTTTCTTGGCAAGGCTTCAGAAGTGGTTTGCCACGGCCTCCTTTCTAGGGCAGAGAGAGGGTGTCTGGGCCAAAGAAACCCAGCTGGCTTCCTGCCTAAGGCAGGACTCACGGTCTGGTTTCTAGCCTGTTGTCCTAACTAGTACACTAAACTGGCTCTTAGAAGGAAATTAGTAACCATAAAAATAGAATTAGAGAGTAATCAAGGTTGCTCCCTAGACATTTTGTCACATGAAGAGCAGGATATTTATGTTTTGTGTTTGAGTGGATAGTGGATTGATAGGGTGTCTTCTGCACTGACAGTGGGGCCAGGACAGGGGCAGCATCTTATTGAAAGATGCTTTATGGGGAGGCCTGTAGCCAACCTTGAGGTTTCCCCCACAAAAAGTAGGGAGAAGTTTATCTGGTCTTATAAAGACAACTTGAGATTCAGGGGGCAGAGAAAATTTATGGGATGCTCCTAGTTATAGGCCTGTTAAGGATGCAGGAGAAGGCACCAGGTCTTGAGTGCATTGCTGCCACCTCTCAGAATCCCCTTCTCTTCCCTCTGCCATCAGTAGGCTTTTAGCAACCCAGAATGTGACAGTCAGGGAAACCAAAAGCTGAAAATATTAAGAGGAGGAATCAGAACTGATCTTTTATGGTTTAATGTCAGCCCCTGGAGACGGGCAAGGTCAAGAAATAGATGTAGCA